TGTGTCAGACGTGTGATGTATTCAGAAAAACAAAAAACACCGATGAATTGAAATCTGTCCAACAGAGTTTGATTTATCCTGCAAGCATCGAAATGAAGGATGCATTATTTTACCCCGAAATAGATCTGTCGACGGACTTTGGAAAAATTCTGACATTAGATAGTAGAAAAAAAAGCAATCGCTGAACACTCAAATAATCGGTCAATATTCCGGTCCCCTACTTGTCTATCAATCGTAGTCCGCGCGTGCGATGTGTCCAGCTGGACAGCATCCAGTTTGCAGTCCGCATGATATGGACATTTGGGGATTCGGAACAAGTGACAGGACTGACCGTGCGTGCCACTTGGTGCACACATGAGTGAATGATACGAATGAAGTTGATTTCATAAAAGCTTAGCAACTGGGATGATTCAATTCAGTGTGGTGCTGCTTTGGGGACGGAAGTGGCCGGGTGTGTGGGGTGGGGCGGGAGGTAGGTGGGTGATGTGATACTTTGGGTTCTGCAACTCGTCAATTACGACAGTCACTGATGTCATCGCATCATCTATGGTTCGATAAGGAATGTGTGCATTCTGCTCGCGTTGTCTGCTTATCGGGGTGCATGTGTGTTACTGTGTCTGTGAATGCACTGCTATTTACATTTTAAATCAGATGCGAATATAATCACTGGCAGAGTTTAGGACCGGTTTCTATACCGCAGTCGCTATCACCATCAGCATCAACTCCACCGAGATAAGCGATTACAACCCCACGGTTACTTGACTTGACTGAGTTGAATAACATCCTCAGCAGGTATTCGGAATAAGTGAAAACCGATCTTGAGGATTTACGAAACACGGAACAATGAGCTAGTGGTAACCGCTCTAGTCGAACTATAGTTTGGTGTATTCGATTAATTCGACCAAACCTGTTGGTGGGGTTGGACCTAGGACAATCCAGCAGTGCTAGATCCACCTGAGCATTGACAAAGTCTACTCCAATTAATGAAGCTCCCTGTACAGTTCAGCTGAATGGTTTGGATTAACCATCGTTCATATTGCATCTCCCCATGTGATTCAATATTATCCCAATCTTGTGTCTTGATCTAGCGGGTTTTCAAATGATTTTGCCTTATAATGATGGTCCTCCACGTCCTCCACTATGTGGTCATATGTACTTGACTCTAAAGCTAGCATTGAAGCTATTTCTATTTGCTTAATGTTTAACACTTCCCAGTGATTCAATGTCATTTAACGTGATCAAGCGCTACTCGGATTTGATTCGTAAGACATATTGGTGATGGGTGGAAAATGCGTACTTGGATATCGTTCCTCATTCACCCCTAGATATTCATCCTTCGCGTTTAAGAAATGCCAAATAGATAAAAACACCTCCGTTCTGGAGGCGTGAATATCGCCTCCCAGACTTAACTGCATGATTCATAACCTACAGTTGCATCGTCGAAAACAAGAAGTACTCTCGCATCAAGAACTACCTGATTATACCGCGTACGCAATAGTACGTCCAAGGTGTATGATTACATACAGAAGTTAGCACTCGATAGTGAACCTTCTATAGCATATAGTCTGTTTTATCAAAGAGTCGAATGACCGTGTGTCCGAAAATGACATGATAGCTGGTCGTGCTTGAAAAAAGGTATTTGTCACATACGGTTGTAGTTCTGGTGATGGAGTACCATCGACAAAATGAGCTGTTGGACTTTATCCACAAGAGTGTCTGAATATAAAGAACATAATGAAAATGGCGCCAGGTTAAAATGTGACCATCTGAGAAAAACTACGGGAGCATTATCGTGCAGAGGAATAGTGTCACAGGGTGAGAAAGGGCGGAGAAAGTCGAGTACAGTATGATGAGATCACTCGCGGATAGGATACAATGGAAACTGGAATCGTGTTTGTTACCGAATGAACGTACATAGAGAATAATGCCAATTTTTTTCATCACACAAATTGGCGGAGAAAGTCGGTAGTGGGGGGAGGCTAGTGGCTATTGTGTTAATAACCGAAACCGGTTCGTCAAATCCCCTCTCCTTCTCTCTCATTTCTCCTCCGTTACCGACGCTGTCATCGCAACTTCGGATGTATGTGACTTCACTGGCGACTGGATCATTACCTCGACCATACTTTTTAGAACCTTCGGTGATTTGTGATTGCTGGTCCTAGTTCTTAGGTGTTTACTGCTACGTGACATGAAACTGACACCGTTTCTCATGGCCTGGTTTTGTTCTGTGGTAGATGTCATTACATCTGTTTGAACCTCATAAAGGTGTATATATCCAATACTTGTATGCCGAGGGAGCAGATGTTGATTGAGCCATCCTGTTGTACTCACTGGGTTCTATGAGAGGAGATAGTTTACAATATATGGTGGCGGTGATGATGGTAGCAAACAAATGCAGTTGATTCGTGTTCTTTTAAATCTCTGTATTATGGTCTACACTATCGTTTCGTGTGATTTTGCGCAGCGTATAAAAGGAGATCGGTTAAGTGTCAGTAATATCGTATACAATGAGCTAGAACTGGAGCAAAATACGGGGTTTTCAAATCAGGATCATATGACCAATCCGGTTAAGCTCCACAGGCAACGGTCCACTAACTTAACGTACCATATATTCTGTTTCATCGGCGAGCCCAATATGTGATGTCTGGGTGGAACAGGCGCATCTCCGACTCTTGAACAGTTATGGTGCAGCTGTTGTAAGAAAAGAGTAGCCAGATCCTCGCGGTTGCCGCTTTCATTTTGAAGGGCAAAATAAGCTGAAAGCCATAGGCCTAGATACATAGCTACTGTTTGAATGTCTGCATCGGTGTTACATTCACGCACACATTTGTAATTTGAATGAGGTACGTGATTTACGATTTATTTAATACAATTAAACACATCGTAACGAAGCCATATTTATGCTCCCCTTCCATTTATTGTTCTCCATCCACGGACTGTATACTAGTTCACAGTCTGCTGAGATGACAGGCGCATTATTTCAAACGGATAACAACGATAGCAACGAACGTTTTCTGGGTGTGTCCCAGTTGACCGCACAAGAGACCAAAGAATAGCGTCAGTCTGTGCCATTCAGTTGACCAGTCACCAGACCCAGCCACCTATTAGACTGGGTTGGTAACTGACCGGTTGGTTGGAACAGCTGACGTGGTGGGACGGTCAGTCACAACTATTATTACTATAACTACAAAAATCGAGGGTGGTCCCGCTATCCCAAAGTGATTCGTTTGGTCAGACTACACAAAAAGCCAAGTGCTCGAGTATATTTTAAGCTTTAGTTGGGAAGACACTTACGTACCGGGTAGTGAACAATCTAAATGGATGATAAGTAAGATTCTCGTCCGCACAACTTCAGAGTGGAGAAAGTGGTTACCCTACTGTGTGAGTTCCTCTCCCCTCCCCCTGGACACCGGCAGCAGAATTGGACCGGCCACTCACACGAAGGTGAACACACAGACCGACTCAGACATGTGTGGTCGACTGTCTCGATTGCTAATCCATACCACCGTGGTCATCCGGGTTGAGAGGGTAGTTATTTGGTAATTGTCGGTCGGCGCAATCTTTTTCGGAGTTGGCATTCTGTTGTGGATTCCGGGCCGCCAATGATGGAACCTAGTTGATCTATTGCTTTCGAAATGTGAAGCCATTGCCCCGGCTTGGTCACTGCTTGTGACCAGTTTATACCTCCCTCCCCCGATGCGCTCCGTTCTTCTTCTCCTATACCGGAGACATCTTGTTCTTCAGCTGTTCGGGAATTCAGTTGAAACCAGACAGTTAATGGATTCACTACTCACATCGGTGCCAAAGAATGATAGGAGATGACAGATTGGATAGTCCTAGTATTCGCTTCACTCGACATAATGAGTAGTGATTTATAACTGACTAGCTGACAACGAACGATACACGCAGGTAGTGTTTAAAAGGTAGCAAACGGAATTATGCACCGAGGATTTTCAGCAACTACGTTCTACTTTATGGGCTTGTTGACAAAGGTAGCTAGGTAGCAGTTGCTGTGCCCAGCAAATCAATTCCTCGTAAAGTAGTGTTTTAATGATATTCGTGCAATGGGGAAAATTCTCTCGTTCAAGGGAATCCGATAATTAGCACACGAGTTTTCTGAAAATTTCTGTAAGCCATTGTGTGTATGGTCACTGCGCTGCAGTTTGTCAACCGCGTAGGAAAACATACAAATGACGGGAGTATCATGTGTTTTGTTACACTTTACGTGATTAGATCAGTTTTATACCGTTTAATTGTTTTCCTTCTAATTACTGACGGGAAAAAACTTGCAATTCCTTTTTGAAAGAGAAGAAGGAAAAAACGAAAAGAACGGGGATGCTTGGGTGGCAATAATGAGCTTCGCACACACACACACACACACCTCTGAGGTATCGTTTGACCGCCGTCATAAAATCCATTCATTTTATGCGGTACAAAAATCGTACCCTCATTCTTTCGCAATCCGATTGGGTTAGCTCACTGGCGAGTTCTCAAACTGCGACGGCTTCTGTTGGTGTAAATGCTTAAAATGTAGCTTGGTAGCTTGGTACGTTTACTTGAGATAGATGCTCTGCCGTGTGTAACGGGCCAACCGGTTTTCCCATTCACAGAGCATATAATTTTAGGAAACCAGTTCTTCCCGGTGTGTCATCACCAAAACTGAGCACGTACACACTGGAACAGCTATTTCCCCCATTATAGTAGAATTGGATTTCAATAAGCCTACGGTCAAACAATGGGCCGATAATTCTCGACCGACCGCAGTGGATCAGCACCACACAGGCAGTCGGCAGGCATGGACTTTGTGCATGAGAGGACTAACAGTTATCACTCCCTGACAATAGGGAAAAGTTCTTTCATGAATCGTTGAAATTAGCCACTTGAATCATATGCTGAAAACGAAGTAGAATGCAAATGGGAATTTAGGACAAAAACATATCGATCTTTTCACACTGGTTAACCAGTACCAATCAAAAATAACAAGAAGTCAAAAGTAACCATGAAAATAGAAATAGAAAAAAACTATTGGCAAATTTTCTAAACTCACTACCCAATTCCGCTGCTGGTTTCGAAAATTAAACTATCACAATACAACAAAGCTACCTTTATTACATCATGGATTATCTTTGAACATGGTGAAATTTAGGTTTCGCCCTTTGCGAATTTCACACACACTTGGCACCAGCATCTCATTATTCTTCTGCTGTGCAGATGAGGAGTTCGCACGAGTGTCTGTTTTATGGGACGCAGTTAAAAGGCTACTCTCATTGTTTTTTGGTAGCATTCAACCACGGAAACACTATAGTGCGCTCTCTGAATGGTTAGTGGAATGCACATTGCATTTTGCCCCTTTGAGTGCTGTCTAACACAGTGATTCTTCATCTGGTAACCGAGTTCCTAGGAGGTGGTATTTGTCGTTTCATAGATCATCCCGTTGACACAAGGTTACCAGTGCGCACAGCTCTGTGGTCAGATCGTTCTTTTGTTTAGTTCTTCATTCGGGAAAAAAGAACGTATCTTACTCTTTCCCTGTGTGTATGTGAACACATCATCTCGCGTTCGCCGTTTGTTGCTTCACTTCACACCCTGATCATTCTTTGCGTTGCTCGGCGGGCGCGCGCACACACCCAGGGAAGAAAATAACCGAACAGGGCGCTTATTTTTTTCCTGCTCTGTTCCACTTGGGAGGTCCGGTCCACTTAGTTCAACAAAATGTCATTTTCTTACTGTGTGTACCAGCATACCTACAACTGAAGGTTTGTACAGTTTAGCGGTCCGTTATACGACTCCTTCCAATATGCAGCAGTGTTTTATTCTAACCTCAGCGCTTCTTAAGCTACGTACGAGACAGGTGTTGTGTCCTATGGTCACCCACCACGTTCACAGTACCTCCGACTATCCGGATTCTGACGCCAATATGACAGTAACAGTTGTTCTACGGTTGGTGTTACCCAAATGAACAGACCCAGCAGATTCCCCGATAAGGTATCCAGTCAAAATGTGTGGGTCACATGAGGTGAAAGCCTTTTATGCACTCTTCAAAGGGGTTTTGTGCACTGAGGTGGTTGTTGTAAATCAGGTAGAAGAAAAAGAAACATGGGGCGAATAAATCCATGTAAATATTAAAGTCCATATTTTCTCTGTATTCGTTTCTCTGAGGAGATCCCACCTACTTAAATCGGCTACTGACGTTTGCCTGACGCAGATTACTGATGTTGCTACATCCCCTGCCTGGAACCGACCCACACAGATGCATTGCTCTAATCCCTATCAGTCTAGCTTTTCCAGCCTCCGGCCTCCCTCTATTGAGTCTATCTATTCAGTTCATTTGTGTTTGTTTTAACGAACGAATTGGTGATTTTCCCATTGAACCATCTCTCTCTCTCTCTCTCTGCGGTGACTTCTCCCCATGCTCCTTACGTTTCTCTAATTCGATATGATCCATTGGTGGGAGGGCCGAGGGTCAAGTTCCTTCGCCCCTCCCCCATTCCACACAGACCCTCCACGTACATTCCCAGTCCCAGTCTCGATGACGAGTTGTGGGATTCCGGAGTGGAAGTGTATTCGGTATGGCGCACGAAGTAAGGTTGGGGAAACGGTTGAGTGCTAGAAAGTGGATATAAGTTTATGTCATTTGTGTAGCATACATTTTCTTGAAATACGTATGAATGTATCACACCCACCACCCAGCGAAGAGCGTTATCATCGATAAGACTAATTCAGAGATCAACGTCCGTAGGTGTAGAGGGGATGGGTGGGGGTGAAAGTATAGCAAACTAGGCACCTGAACGATCGAATTTGTATGGGGAAAAGTAAAAATGGCCTCACTGCTTCATTTAGAATTATTCATCGGGACATGTTTAACATGTATTATCATTGAAAAAACATGATTCGTTCTATGGACCAGACTGGTTTGCAGCGAGATGACCTCTATACTGTGTCGTAAATAACCCCAGATCAGTTTTTACATATTTCCCCTATACCCCTGCCACAAATGTATAACAAAGGCAGCCAATATAATGAGGGCGGAGTGTGTATTCGTTTGTTGTACACCTGTCTATCGATCAGACAGCGACAGTTTACCAGCCAGTCAGCAGGCCGGCAGGCGGTCAGACAGCAGGTACACAAACCGATTGAGGCACCTTGAAATGCCTGGGGGAGATAGGCGAAACGGGACGGGGGCGGAGACGCGACGAACGGACCTGTCGTGAGAACGATGTCGCCCATCAATCGTGTACATGTAGTTCAGTCAAATTATCTTATCCTCTCTGATTGTTTGGGATCAGATTCGCTTCGCACATAATCCCATTAACATCCCAGTTCCCTCCCCATGGGCATGCTGTCCGATGCGCATAGGGAAATTAACATAGCGGATCCTACTGGGAAGAATAATATTTCATCATAGACCGGAGTAGTCTGAAGAATAGGGGACGACAGCTAGCAGCGGCAGCAGACTGACTATCAATTCAACATGTTGAGTATTCGCAAAGAACTTCTCAGTGGAAACTATTTCCATTCTACAACGCATATACTTATTTAACTCTTCTGTTCACATTCTACATTGCTACAAAGGTTTACTCACTTTCCATCAGGGTTATTCTATCGGTATTTCTAGCAGTATGCATGAAACTCGATTGTCACAACCATGACCTTTTTTTCTTTATTTCTCATTTGTTTTAATGACGGGTGTCTGCAAACATGTCCTCTCTCTCTCTCGCTCGCTCTGTTTTCCTCGACTTACTTATCACGTGTTGTTGTCCAGCATTGCTGTTCTCACCCTGTTTGTTAGGAGAGAAAATCGGGACACTTACTATTTTGTTGGTTATCTGATCGTTTGCCCAAGTGCATGTGTTACCTATAGGGGAACTTTTCGTCAGTCCTCCTCCCTGTAATCAAATCTGAAAGAACTGGGGGAAATAACAGAACCTGGTAGAAAATTCAAAGAGGTAAATAGAGAAAGATAAATCAAATCAAACTAAAATGGGCGTCACCGTAGATGAGCAATTATCAGATTGCGTTCTACTTTTATTGATCATCCCAGAAGTCTATTTCTATCTACTGCGCTGTGGCTAATCGGATCGATAGTTCCTTTCAGGTGCGAACGACTATACACGATTGGAGCTGAATAAAATATAACGGCACTTGTAATACTTGTAATACTTCCCTCTATTATCTCCTTTTCGTCCCTCAACTTTCGTCCGACGCGTTCTTCATTCGTTCAATTCCACCTCTCAGATAGTCCAATGACTGAGAGCAGTGAGACTAGTAGCTTGTTGGGTTTGGGCACATCAACCGCAGGGGCCGGGATCAGTGAGGCCGGACACGGTTCGGTCGGCCAAAGCTCGCTGATGCCCTTGGTGTTCGGTGGCTCGGGCACCCCGGGGCCCAGTGCGCAAAACAATTCCGTGGCCCCGAATGGGACAAGTTCCGGGTCGAACAGTGGCGCGACAAATGTAACCACCAACGGAAGCATGACAATTGGACAATTGGATACTGGAAGTCAAGCCGGGAGTGGCAGTTCCAGTAGCGGGACGAGCGCGTTGGGTTGCGGTGATGAGGTGGTCCATAGTATTGTTGTCTCACGAACTGGCTCCCGTCCGGGCAAATCCGGTGGATCCAAACGATCCAAAGATCACAAAGCGACCAGAGTAAGTGGATCAGATAAAAACCGTTTAAAATATGCATGCTTCATTCTTGACTAGGTAGTTTAGAGGTATACAGTCACTCTCATTAGTAATCGATGGAATGTATGACCAAAAGAACAAAAGTTATCTGTTTGATCATATCCCTTAGGTTTCAGTGTAAACATTGCATCCTCTATAGAGATGCGACCGAACAACTAACTGCACCCTCAAGTTCAGTGACGTGATAATGTTGACCATCGCTCAAACAAACCAGTAAAACAAATTGCCGTCTTGCTAACATGACACCTTCTGCACTTCAACGGCAATTTTCGCCACTCATGTTTTAAGCTATGACGAGTAGGCCGGAATCCTCACTAACAATGTGAAATCAGCTTAAAATATCGACTTTATTTTAAAAAGTCCTTTGACAAACATACACATATACGATAAGTTATATTCACCTACGTACGTCTCCCTGATCCTCGCAGGTTCGTACGGTACTGAACGAAAAACAACTGCACACATTACGCACGTGCTACGCGGCCAATCCTCGACCGGATGCGTTGATGAAAGAACAACTGGTTGAGATGACCAGTCTCAGTCCGCGTGTCATTCGAGTTTGGTTTCAGAACAAACGTTGCAAGGACAAGAAACGTCAGTTATTGTTGAAGCAAATGGAACAACATCAACAGGTGAGTAAAAAAATACATCGCAGGGTTGGCTCTTTTCGTCAGCGGTTATCAACTGCAAAACATGGAACAGTCTACTAAAGAGGATCGAGTAGTTTCAAGGTCATTGTCATTCCACCATAACCACCAGCACCACCGTCCATATATTCATTTTGCAATCTAAGTTGGTGCGATGGTTCCACAATGCTAATGGGACCCAACAAAGCCGAAATAGCGCTTCCTAGCTTTTCAGTTAAAATTCTATTTACTCGCTACACAACGAAATTTATGCTGAAACTAATGTAGCGACGCATAAAATTAATTGATTAATCTGTCAATCGATTCTTATGAAAGTACAAATTGGTCATTTTAAAATAAAAAAGATTAGTCTAATGTTTAGTAACATATTAGTTTATTGTATTCGCAATTCAACATATCGGTACCAATTTGTCAAGGTTCAGTACGGATTTATGTCAACACACGGATTCGCGTTAGTCACGCTCAATGGGTTGCAGTTTATTATACATCCCCCTCCCCTGGCGTAACATAGTGAAACAGAATGACGGGGATTTGAAAAATAGGTCAAACCTTCCCACAAGGGTATCGTGCAAAAAATGACGTATTGTTAGTCTCGTCAACCAGAACAATCCCCAGCAAAATCGGATGTAATGAGTGCAGTTGAAAGTTAATTTCGGTCCATTCTCTCGTCTCCGTGGGATACTCATTCGTACTGTAATAAAGTCCCCTGACCTACGTGGGACACTAGATGCCGCTGTATGGAGAATTTGACCAATGGGCTATAATGTTAACGCACCTAAACGTGTGATAGACAATGCCTATAAACGTATTTTAACGTGTCGTGCAGCGATAGAGAATCCCGCGTCGATCCATATGAATATATCTTGTTCTTCATGGAAAAACAAAAACAGTCCAGCTAATGGCCATGTAAGTAGAATGATGTGTATGCTTTTAGCCTTTACAGTTTTTCTTCTGTTATTGTTGTTCTTTAATAACATCGATTCTCATGGGTGATAAGATTATGAAGGTCATAAAAATAAAATTGCTGAGAGAACGTTTCTGTGAAGCCATTTGCATGTCAGTCCGGATTGAATCTCGTTGTGTGGTCTGATGTATGAGGTGACTTAAGTACTCCGTATATATGGTCAGAATATTTATGTATCTTCCTATCCCTCTCTCATCATATCATTTAGTGAAAAGTAACATTGCATTTCTGCCTCCCTGTGCCCTTCGATGTCTTGTGGTCATTATGTCCCAAATCTGACCCTACTATCCCATCTGGTCGAACAGTCATAATGCTCAAACCATCCAGAGGGCCGGGAGGGGGGGGGGGCAGTGTTGAGACGCGTTTCTCATTCGTGATTGCAAATCTTTTCCTCCTGGATAAAATTCACCAATGATGGTACACTGAAATTGGAACCCCACTCAAGATAGGGACAAGGCCTTATCAGTTATTGTGATGCATATGCATACTGATG